CCGGCATGGCAACAGTTTGAGGGGCGGAGTCCCTCATTGGCGTAACTTGAGTCCGACCTCCTCGAGCAGACTCAGCTAAAGCAAACTGCATTCCAGCCGACGCGGTAGCCAGGCGAAATGCAGGCACTGGAGCCTTCGCCTTTTTGGAAACTCGCCGACCTGGCACCCACGGAAGGTTGCGTCAAAAGGCAATAGTGAACGACAATAAGTTAAGGTAGAAATAATACTTACTGGGCGGAGTCTTAGGTCCAAAGCGCTTGTGAAAGGACGTCCAGTCGCAAATTCCCACGGTGTGGGGTAACATGTGAGCCACCCAATCTTCAATATCGAAGACGGGAGAAGGTGCACGCCTCTCAGCTGAAAACAAGGAAGCCACGAGAGTTGAAAATGAGAGAAGAGGAAGAAAGAAAATAAAGAACATACGGCAAGATACTTACGATTGTAGTTCCATTTCTCGGGAAAACCGGTCGAATTCGCCACCAGGTGCTCGGTCTTAATGAAGAAGTATTTATTCCAGAACAGCCGGTTCGCCTTATCATCCATCCCGGCCACCAGCCCTTTGATCCCACGATGTCGCAGATGTATCAACGAGCCTCCATAGAAGCTGGGCGAGAATAGATGCAGCATATGGCAAATATTAACCTCACAGCTGGCCAACACTGCATACTTCACCAGCATCAGAAAAACTTTGTATAAATAAGGGGAGAACTATGCCGGGTAGACGTTGTAAAAGCGACAAAACCCCTCCGCTAATGGGAGGAGAGGAAGAGAATAGCCAACTAAGAACGGGTAAAAATATAAAGCACAATACCCAGGTCGGTGAACCTGTACTATGTCATCTCCCGCCGGAATAATCTCGACGTGAGAAGGAATACGGTATTTGGACCGGAGGTCGGCTATTTGACGCAGCCCCGTCTCAGAAAGCTCTAGAGCAGGAGCGGGAGCAGGTTCCTTTGGGAAGTCATTTCTAACCAAAGGATTCTTGGGAACCACCTCCTCCACAGTGGGAAAACTTTCTTCCTCCTCAACCATGGATTCCCCACCACCGGGAGGAATGGCCACCGATAAAAGAGTAGCATCGGTGACTCCGTCGTGAATATGAGAGGAATTTGACATATTTCCATAGTAAAGTGTGTACAGCAAAGTAGGAGAAAGAAGATATTAGTCGGGAAAGAAATCAGGGACTGAAATTGAAGAAGTTGCAAGAAATCGGAAGTGGAGATCCAAGAAGAAGATAAAAGAAAAACGATATGCATGCAACAAGAGGAATGCTGAAAGTTTCGAAAATGAAACCCCTCTCCTCTACTTATAGGGTTGGGTAACACCGGAATCGAGGCAAAGAGCCGACAACGGCACCAAAATCGAAGCGACAGAAGCACAGACACTGCATTGGCAAGATGCGTAATGATGACACGCATGGCATGACGTCATCCTACGATGGCCACACCAACCGCAGCCCCGCCGCCAGTTCGACCTCGGCTGATTCGATTCAATCGTCATGACCAAATTTCTTCTGAACGGCTGCAGACAGGATCCGCTCATCGAAGACGTCCAAGATCACGACCTCAACAAGCGGAGGGACTAACTGTATTGGTCAAAATTTGGATTAGACTTAATAGTTGCAAATGGACGTGGTCGAGGATTAAGCCGACCACGGCATGAGGGCGGGGAGTCTTCTTAAGAAAGATTGGTGCCGAGATCGAGCAAAGGGTGTATGAAAATAACGGTAGGATAAGTTAGAATAGAAAGAAGGAATATTCTATTGAATATTCTTTGGCTTGTACTTTTTTAGGGTTTCTCAGGAATATCCCCTATAAATAGGAAGAGATAAAGAACAAAAGTGGGATCTTCACTTTTCGATAAGAGCACATTGTAAAAGGTTGACTATAAAGAATATACAAAAGCGTGTCTCGTTCACTTATTATATTGTTCAATATACGTTGTTCATTCACAAGATCCAAAGATTCCTTGTCTATCTTCAAAATCTATCATCCCACGTTGTTGTCAGGAAGGAGAATCATCCAAGTCACCTAACATTTGGGTGATAAGTTCCTTCTTATTACAGTCATTGTCATTATCTACATTTATTGCATGCTTCTATTACTACATTCATTGACAATCAAAGAACATATACTTGATATTTATCATTCTTGAACACGGTCACATATCACTGATATACCCCAGTTTTAGATCTAGAATTTATTACGTTTAACTTGGATTCACCCTCTATTTCTTCATTAATTAGTTTAACAAAAAGCTTAACACTTTTTGGTCAAAAAATATTGTGTCCTAAATTTCAATAGAGATTGATTATCCATCACCATCCATGCGATAAATGGAACTATAAACTTTTAACACTTCACACTTGCAGTTTAGCTTGACCAAAAAAAATACACTATTATTCTGTCTAAAATATTAAGGCCTGAATTACAGGAAAACACAATCAATTTAAAATCCAATAATCATCTAATTGAAATCCCAGTTGAGTCTGTCAACTACATATTTACCAATGCTTATGATACTTAAACTAGTATCAACAAACCAAAATTCCAAAATTCCTAAGTAAACAAGCTAACTCCACCGATATGCAGATAACAAACCTGAATAAAGGAGGAGGAGGGTACGACGAACATATAAATTATGATGTATCTTTAAATACTAGCAAAGCTAAATTGATACAGTAGATTCAAATAGCAAATCCCCGAAGAAAACAAGCTACAAATATAAGCCTGTAGAAAATTAATATTGTCGGTGCTGTCGCTGGATTCGTGATAATCAAAAAGAGATCATCGGACAATCAAAGAAGCATTATGAAAAAATGAATAACGTTAAAGAAGCACCTCTAGTTTGAGCTGCTCCTGTTTTTCCCCTTAAATATAATCAATTTCGCCATTCCTTAAACTTTGGCAACAAAAATGTTCGCGAGAACTAATTTTGTCCTTCACCTCTAATCTATCAAATCAAATCTTTTGTTGATATTTACCATTATATAGATAAGCTGACATTTGGGTGACACGTACAACTTCTTTTTTTAAGTCAAGACACATATAGTTTAACCTCTTCTTCATTTATTAATCATTTAATTTATTTACCACGGTGGTGAACCATTTAGGGAGAACCCCAGACAATTAGAAGGCATGGCATCTAAGTACTGCGAAATTCCAAGTCAAAATCAAAGGTACTATGAAAAACGTCAGTTTGTTGCTCTATAGTCTTATGTACTACTACAACAACAACAACCCATTAAAATTCCATTAGCGTAGTTTGAAAAGGATAGAGTGTTGCCAGACCTTACCCCGCTCGGCTCTATAGTCTTATGTACCAACTATATAAAATGAGATTGGAAATATATATATATAGGATAGCTAAAAGACATAGTAATGACACAAAATTCAATTTACTTAAATAGCACTCCAATAAACTACCATTGATCTCTATTCCGTAAGATGCGATGTTGAAAATGTGATGCCAGTACAAAGGCCAAAGTTAATAGACCAAATTTTAGTAGCCTAATTAACAAGGAAAAAATTAACATAGTATTTCTCGAGACCAGGTTGAAAATCCCTAAAAGGTGAAAGAGAAAACTACCAAAGCGCCAGTGCGTGAGTGGGTAGCTGGGTGGAATATGGAAGGCCAACAAATTATGGTCCCATTTGGGCAAACAATTTTTGTTCAAACATACTTTAGTCATCATCATGCAACCTAAGCTTATCTAGTATTGCCGTGAGATGGATATGATCATTTCCATCCTTAACCAAATGTCTTAGGTTCGAACCATAAAAAAGAAAAAACTTTCGATAAGGAGTACTTTAATTCCTCTTTAGTGAATCTTGCACAACGCAAATCTAGATTAGATGGAAACCAAATGGGGATATCGATCACCGGATAAGAAATTAAAAAAAAAAAAAAAAAAAAACTTATCTAACTATTGTGACCCCATGCTTACCACTTTTTTTCGTGTAATATATATGGGGTCCAAAACTCGCAATGGACTCTTTCTTGTATTGTGGTTGGAATGCCATCATCTTACCTGTTAGCCAGAAAGGCAATTTGGTTGCGTGCAGCTTGCACATGACACCACCAGCAAACAACAGCTTGGACTTTCTAATATACCTCTTACATAATGTCTTTCAAATTATACCAGATGTTTGGTCGTTAAACCGGCACAAGATAAAAAGAAAAAACAACAATCTTTAATTAACTAATTTTCTACACTAACAACGCAAAGAATATCAACCTATTATAGCTGGTTGTTAATAATTTCACTTATTGTTGACAATTACGTATAGTTTTCTCACTACTAGAAAAGGCTATTTTGCGTCTGCAAAAACGGTAAGAAAGTGGTCAGAAAATGCTAATTTCCGACTACATTCAGACCGAAAAGTCGTAGTCGCAAAATAGCCGGTCTGAAATAGTTTGCGACCGAATCCGTCCGTAATTTGCGACTACAGCGGTCGCTAAGGCAAAATAGAAAACGACTAATAAATGTGCTAAAGTTTCTGACCGACGCGGTCGCAAACAGGTTAAATTAAATTTCAATTTTATATTAACTTTCTCACTACTTCGGTCGCAAACTAATTATAATAATATTTAATTTTATTTGAGGTTTTCCACTACGGTGGTCGCAAATCTAATTTTAAATTATTTATTTATTTATCGTTCCGACTACCGTGGTCGCAAATCTAATTTAAAATTATTTATTTATTTGTATTTCCGACTACAGTAGTCGCAGATGTTCCTGAATCTGGAATATTTTGATGCATTTTGCGACTACTATGGTCGAAAATAAGTCGGAAAACTGGGAATTTTTTGCCAAATTTCAGCTCTTTTAAAGCAATACCACCTACCAATTCAAATATACAACAACCAATTAATCTACCATGCTAACCAATCAATCCACCATTGCAACTAATCAAATCCATAAAATGCAAAAACATAAAATATTTAGTGACTAAAAACCATCCAAAAAAGGAGCTAAAACATTGTGGCACCATTCAATCTAGTCTAAAATATTACAATCATAGTCAAGTGTAAATATTACCAAGTCTAAACATCCAAGTACAACAAATAATAATGTCTCAAACATCAATAACCATAACAAACTAAAACTCATTATCCCCGCCATCCTCGCCATTCGAAGGACCAAATGGACGTCCGCTCATAAATTTCTCCACTAGACTCTGCAATTTGTTAAAATTTGCGCGATCTTCTTTCCGTTCCTCCTTCGACCCTTCAACTTCTTTTCGTAATGCTTCCACCTCTTCGTGATCTTGCGAATAACTCGCATCACCAGACAACAATGTCGTAGAACGACCTACAGAATATTGTGATCCAAGACCGTAGGTTCTACCTTTCTTTGCGCCACCAACCATCTGCGTCCATATTGAAGCTACATCATTGAGTGACACTTGGGTTGAGCTACCATCCTCGGAATCGGGTTGACTTTGACGCCATTCCTCAAAACGTTGCTGATAGGCTTCCTGAAATTAAAATGGAGTCAAAGCGATACTTGAAAAAATTAAAATATACGTTTCACAGTTTTCTGATGAAGCATGTATCTATAAAAATACAAACACACACATAAACAAGGAAGGAAATGGTGCAAGTATGATGAAAGTAAAATTTTAAGAAGAAAGAAAAAACTTATACTTAAGCAACAAACAATACTTTTACCTGTTGTTGTTCCTCCTCTGGATCTCCCTTTAACTAATTGTTATATAAACTTGGTATAAGTATCTTCATTTTCCGACTTCAAAATTTTCTAAGTAAAAAAGGACTAATACACAAAAGTGCATGAGTTTTCTTCCATCTTGTTGTTATGCGGTTATTTTCCTGGAAATGTAAACTTGGTAATTTATGTTCCATTTTTTCTGGCTCATGCTTCCTTCTTTTTCCTTTACTATTTCTTTCTTCCCCAATCAATGCCATGATCTTTCTTTATTTTTTTTGAATTCCTCCAGTCCACTTCTCACTCATTAATGTCAAGAATCATTTCTTAGGGAAGCACTACAGGATCTTTTTCTCAAACTACTGCTGCTTCTGAGAGCCAACATCCATTCTAAAAGTACATGGATATGTGAGTCTACATGAAGAGATTCTGCATGCCAAAACCAGAGGCAACAGATGCACAATTACAAGCCAATATAGACTGGATATGTACTAATCAAGGTGTGGACTGCCGCCCTGTTCAAGCTGGAGGTCTTTGCTTCAACCCCAACACTGTTATAGCCCGTTTGGCCAAGCTGCAAAAATCAGCTTATTTTGAGAAGTGCTTTTTTTCAAAAGTGCTTTTCTCAAAAGTACTTTTGGTGAGAAGCAGTTTGTGTTTGGCTAATTAGTTTGAAAAGCACTTCTGAGCAGCAATTAGTGTTTGGCCAAGCTTTAAAAAACTGCTTCTAAGTGTATTTTTCTCAAAAGTGCTTCTCAAAAAAGTGCTTCTGGAGAGAAGCTACTTTTTTCTGCTTCTCCAAAACTGCTTCTGCTTCTCCTTAAAAGCATTTTTTTTCCTTCCAAAAGCTTGGCCAAACACCTCAATTTTTGGCCAAAAGTGCTTTTGGCCAAAAAAAAAGCACTTTTGGCCAAAAAGAAGCTTGGCTAAACAGGCTATTACTCCCAAAAGGCCAGGCCTATAGAATGGCATGAATTAAGAGCCACACAAATTGCTTGATAGAACAAAATTTGTTATAGCTGCATAAGTCCTTGGTGACTTAATGTATAACCAATTTTTGTATTCCCTTATATACGAAGACCTTACCCGTGCCCTGGAAGGTTGAGAGAACATTTGTTTGTGATTGAACAAATACAATATTAGCAAATCTGTCTCACTGCAAAGTTCTGTTGTTCTTACTTAATCAGTTCCGATAACTCTAAGGAAAGAGCAAGTATTCTCCAGCTTAAATTACTATATTGAAACTTCTCCTAAAAATATTCATGCTACGACTCGGATTAGCCCTTAAATTACACTTCTCCATACAGACATTTTTCCTGACTGTTAAAACTTCCCCATAATCCTTGCTTCCGGAAACATCAGTAACTAACTAGCAAAAAAATTTATGTTCTCAAAAGCTCAACAATTTACAAGCTAGAGTCCACCATTTTCAACTTAAACAACCAAAATTCTGCAGTCTGTTGCTTTAAATGTGTGGGAAAATCGCCTAGCACCAATTTTATGTCAGACAAGTCAACCCATATCCATGGTATGCCATTGAAGAACATAGCAGAAAACAATGACTTTGATGAAGAGGAAGAAACAGAGGAGGAAGAAGAGGAGAGTAACTTGAAGAGGAAAAGATTGAATTTTGCAAAGAAAATAGGGTCAAATAGTGAAGGACCCTGTTAATTAACCTCGTGTTGATTGAGCTAATTAACCTCAAGTAAATTGTAACATATATAAAATACAGTATAAAAGTCATAGATTGTGTAAGGTCCTTGTCTTATGACTAAAAGAATCATCAACCCCAACAAATCAAAGAAGAAGAAGAAGAAAGAAGAAGAGACAAAAAGGAAATAGAAGGATCTTACATATACCCTCGCAGCACGCGGCTCGACCCATTCTCTTGTCCCATCCTTTTTCCTTTTCAAATGCTTGTCCTCAAAGACCTCAGCATAAGTCACAACTCTCCCTTTTTCCTTTTCCTGCAAAAAAAAATAAATAAATAAAATTAAGTTAGATAAAGTTCAATTGCATCTAGTTAAAATCAAAACAAATATAATAAGAAAGTTACCATTCTCCTTCGATGGGTCTCCATACTAATTGAACCCCCAGTGTGCAATGAGCCACCCGTATTGGAGGCTCGGGCAGCCTTTGCAGCATTGCTCCTCTTCTTAAATTCTTCAGAAGCCCATATCACAATAACTCTATCCCACATGTCTTTTAGCATCCAACCGGGCTTCTCACCCTTCTGTCGAGCTTTATAAAGGAGATTTTTAAGCATTGAGCCTTTATACAATGGACTTGCTTTCTCTAACTGTTCATAGAAGCGTCTAGCATCATCATTTGGTTCAAACTGAGCCCCCGGGTGCATCACAAAAGCATCCCTAACCATTTCACTCAATCGAGAATTTTCAGCATTATTCTCTGCTAATGGACTACCCTCACTATCAAAAAAATTTTGAAAATCGATGTTACCAACACTAGCAACATCATCTCCATGAATAGTCCACACGTAATAATTTTCCATAAACTCTTTTTTATAAAGATGAACTTTAACAACATCTGGTTGTAATAACTTTCCGCATTTGCATTTCATATAAGGACACCTAATGACCCCTTCACTAAGAAATTCATGAAGTGTTTTTGTTTTAGCCATGAATTCGGCAACCCCTTCTATAAATTCCTCCCTCAACCCACTACGATTAGGATAAGTTCGATTATACATCCATCTACGATGTGCAAGCTCCATCTACACAAAATAAATCCAAGATATGTAAAACAATACATATTAATTAGTATTATGATCGTTTAACACAAGCCATCTATACAAATACATTATAATTACAAATATATTCTAATTAAGCAGATTCTAATCACAAATACATTCTAATTAAGCAGATTCAAACAGTGGAAACAACATTCTGTTCACCACAATCAGTTTTCATGATGCAAATCACATTTTCTAAGAGATTCCATTTCGTAACTAGCTACTTACAATACTTTCCATGGAACTTATCTGAAAAACACAATCAGAGAAAGATGGAAAATTTATAGAAAAAAATAAAAATGTAACTAGCTACTTACATATTCAGCACAATCTTAGTGATGCTTAAACAATAAAATTGTACTTTTACCAATCAAAAAAAGAAAACATCTACCCACAACTCATATGTTAACCTATAAGTTTGCACATCTGATCTCACAGATGCAACTGGGTAAATACATTACTTCTTTTTTCTGATAATAATATTTTCGGTCAGAAAATAACATTTTTCTAGTAGTGAATACTATCTAGCATTTGCACTTCTGTAGCTGAAGGTCTTGGCACGCACCACTGCATATTCATTCTAAACTTATTACTCTTACACTATATTTTTCTCTTATTGTTTTGGGTCAAAAGCAATACAAGACTTTACTTGGCCATGACTTGCAAAATATTGAGGTTATGTAATTACTTGCAAGTTGAAGTTTGGCTGATAGTGTTTGTAAAACACTGAACTTCAGCTTTGAAATATTTGTAAAATTCAATTCTGCACTAGCTAGGCAAATACACTGTTTCCTACTTCAACTTCAACAGCTCTTCCCCCCTCCCCCTCCAGTTTCAACAAAATATTGTCCAAACTCGTACTAAATATTTGATTAACGGAGAAGTTTACCTGTCCAGATGCTTGTGCAAACGCTGGTCTTAGAGTTCCACCTGTAGATAATAAGATAAAGAACTAATTAAAGCTTAATATATGAGGATGTATTTAATTATTCAAATGGAAATAAATAAGTTGATTTTGGTGAAGGAATAACCACTGGAACTTGAACTTTACAAGCATGGAGCTATATATGACAAGCAGAGAATGAGAAAAGAAAAGTTGGAAATTATAATAGGCTAATTAATTAGACCACTGATTTTGATCATCTGATAAACAATAAAGGGAGAAAACCAAAGTTCATAGTTGGCAAAGAAAGTATATCGAGTAGTTAATTAACACTAAAACATCCTGTTTAGCAGTATATTCCTTTTCACGTGAATTGTGGATTTAGTACTTAATTGTTTATTATGGTAATTCAGAGGATTGTTATAGCTATAGCCTACCCTAACTGCCAAACAAACAATAGCCTCGGACTCCCAGAATGCAACTCAGTTTCCTATAACAATAGTAGAAAGTTTTTCAAAGTTACACCAATTTCGAGAACCTCAACCACCGGCCTTGCTCTGACCTTAATTGACCAGTTACCCACTTACACATAATACATGTTACCCATGTAAAACAATTAACTTAAAAAGATAATTTTGGGTATTGTCCATAATAGGTGAGATTATAGGCGAGATTCGTACATATTGAATATTATAAAAAGCTCCTCTTATTTGGAAGATATAAAATCAAAGCAAATAGAAGATACTGAAATATAAATGAAACAGAAATACAGTACGGAGAAATACACAGCAACTTAGCAACTCAAAAACACGGAACAAAATAAGAAAAACCACAAATAAATGAAGCATGAGGGATTTGATCAAACATACCTCGAATTTCAGCAAAGAAATTGGGTTCTGCGACCTCAAAAGAGAAACCCCCAAATTTGCAACTGATGGAAAAATGGATTTGAGAAACCCCCAAATTCAACTGACGGATTTGAGATATAAAAAGGGAAATAAAAACTTAGTGAGTGATTAGTGATTTACCTGGGACGAGAGATTGAAGAACGGTCGAGCAGAGAGAGAGATAAATGAAATAGGGGAAATAGGGTTTTGTTGTGAAATATTAAATTAATATTACTGACCATCTTAGTCGCAAACTCACTTAATATTCTTTTATCATTTTTATTTTAGTTTTGCGACCGACACGGTCGCTTAGTGGGTAACCTGATATTTTTAACTTTGTAATGTCCAACTGAATCGGTCGCAAAAGTGAAGGCGGGAAATTGGCGCGATGTTTTCCCACTGCCTTTGTCGGAATAATAGTCGATTTTCCTTTTTAAAAATAAGTAATAAAAATTCAATTTTATTCCGACCATTGCGGTCGCAAAAGTAGTCCCATTAGTGACTATTTCATTTTCGGTCAGAAAATTCGGTCACAAATTGATGTTTTTCTAGTAGTGTCTCTTCTAGGTAATTTAATTGTCTTTTCTTCTTCTCGAGCTGAGGGTCTTTCGGAAACAGCCTCTCTACTCCCACTACTAAAAAATTGGCCTATTGCAACAGTTCAAAAACTGTTGCAATAGGTAGTAAAACCGTTGCCTTAGATCTATTAGGACGGTTTAGCACCCGTAACATCAGGTCGTGTGCCAATAAGCCTACACCAACGGTTTTTTGCAGCGGTTCGAAATTCGTCGCAATAGGTCTTTCTATTGTAACGGTTTAAGATCCGCCGCGACCCCTTCTAGTGTGACGGTTATTATTTCAAATGTGACGGTTCAGAACCGTTGCAATTGTCATTTTTTGCAACGATTGTAGTGGCTATTGCAACGTGTTTTTGATGCTATGGCAACGGTTATTACATGTCTTAAGAGCTATCGCAACGGTTTTTAAGAGCTATCGTAACGGGTTTTGCCTATTGCAATGGGATGATGGTTTATTACAATAATTATTTGTTTATATATATATACTTAAATTTATATAAATCAAAAGAAACTATGCAACAACAAAATGATAATCCAAATAATCAAGTAGTATTATCTTTTATTGAAGAAAAATGTACAATACTGTTTGACAACTTTGTTTTAAAAGGCAGAATTGGGACTCGCCCGGGGCTCGCCCTGGGGCGGAGCACTCGTAGAACGCCCCTGGGCTTATGTGTGGGGCTTAGTTCCGTAAGACTTACGCCTCGGCCTTCGAGGCTTACGCCCCAGACACGCCCAACGCCCAGCGTACTGGGCTCGCCCAATAGAACTTTATGCAATTGTGTGTAACTAATCTTGTAAATCCTCAAATTTTTTTAATAAATCGTTGACTATCCAAAATTACTTTTTTCTTAATGATAAATCATTAAGTTGAGAGTATTTTGTGTCATAACTAAAATAGAAATTATTGCATGTTATCCAAGAAAACTGTTATGATAGTAGATTTTAAATAATCTTTAATTTAAAAGTATTTATTTATTAACTTTTGTTATGTCTTTATTATATTAGTCCATAATTATTTTTATAATTATTTTCGTAAATATTATTTTTTTCACGTTTACGAGATACAATACTTATTAGTTTTATAGCTCAGTATTAGTTAGTAACTATTTACAAATAATTAGTTATCATGATATAGTATGATCAATTATGTGTCGCTTTATTAACTTGCTGAAACTTAAAAATAAATGATCCTAGAGAATCATATTTAAATTATGAATTATAATTTTATATAAATTCTCTTTCAGATATAAAACATATTAAATAAAAGGAGTATTTAAAAAAAATCAAATTATAATATCGAAATTCTTTCAAGATTTATTACTCCTTAAGAGTTACATATAAGATTTATCGAATATATTACTTTTGATGTTTGAGTTGTAACGACGTTGTAGCTAATTTGCATATTATGATATATGTCATACTTTTTGGAATATTCATAGTCGAATTATTATTTATAAATATTTTAAATAGATTGTTTGGTATAATTTTGTGATTTTAATGTAATTTTTATAATTATTTTTTATTTTATACTATCTTAAAATTCTTGAAATTAGTAAAATTTAAAGATCCGTGGGACTTACATCCCATGTCTCAGGGCTTACGCCTCGCCCCGTCAGAGATAAAACGCCTCGCCTCACGCTCCCGCCTTTTAAAACATTGTTTGACAACTTCAAGAGTTGGCATACATAGAACTACTAAAATAAAAAATTCCTAGAACATCTGAAGACCTTGCAACCATCAACCAATATCTAAAGTACTTCACTGCTTTTATCTACTCCTTCTTCATTTGCTTTACCTACCAAACCATCAAAAAACTAAGTTATATCGAATTTATTTGCATAGCGATTAATTAAGAAAAGAACTCACATGGAAAGGAAAGCAACATACACAAGATTAACATATAGTTCAACTTAATCAATTTTACAATAAGTCAAAAGATATGCAAGTTGTTAGGGACTACCATCTAAATAATAACCAAATGAGTCCGACTTAAGGAGTATAAGTTACATGTGACAATATTAAATATGGCAGGCAAGCATTAAGAAAAAGGTCGTAACTTCATATTTTAGAAGAACCAGTCAAATGAGAAATACCAAACTTCATAGGGCAAGAACTTCATATCTCGTTCCCATTCAAAACAAAAAGCGACAGCAGGCAGAAATACTTCTTCATACTAATATGCGCCAGC